AACCAACTTTAGTTCTATCATTTGTTTTAATTTGCAGTTACATAATCATTGAAGTTAGAAGGCCTAACCATTGTTGTTTTGGATGTGTTTCCTTCTAAGTTGAACATGCAATCTAAAGGTGGTGAAATGTGAATGATATTCTGAAACATATATACTAACTTGTTATTTTTGAGATTTGATTTACGTGTGTCTGTGTAAGTATATGTGCATGTATGCTAAGAAGCACATGTTTGTGCATATACAGAGGCCAGAAGAAAGTGGTGAATCCCTCAGAGTTGGAATTAAAGAAGGTAACAGGACTTCTAACTTGATATATGGGTGCTTGAATCCAAATTCTGGTCTTTATGATTGCTCACCAAGTGCTGTTAACCTCTAAGCCATATCTCCAGTCCCTTACTTGATTTTTGATACAAAACTTTTAAGTTTGTTTCACTTGTATACAAGAGTAGCTTTCAAAGTCTATAAAACATTAAATGTGGCCATGGAAGAAGGCTTCATCAGTGAAGTACATGCTACAAAAGTGTGAGAATCTGAATTCAGTCAGTCCCCAGCAGCCACAAAAAAGTCAGCAGCTATTTATTATATATCTGATATATCTGACATATTGACGTTTATCAATTATACAGAAGGATTTCTATATCATTTGATTATACACACACACATATATACACCACACTTTGTTCTAATTCACCTTTCATAATGCTCTGTCATTCCTTCTACCCTCCCCCTTGTTAAGGATCAAGTTGTATAATTTGTGGGTTTGTCTCTGTATTTCCTATTCATTGTTTTGCATATCTGATAGTGTTATGGCTTCAGCACTGCTCTGGATATTTGGAGTCTTTTGCGCAATCTATGAATTTTAAACTTGGTTGTTCTACTTCTTTGAAGAATTTCATTGATATTTTCATGTTTTCACAAGTGGTATGTTGAGTCTGCAAATGTTTTTCAGTAAAATGACCATTTTATTATTTATTATTAATTTTCAAATCACTGGAATGAAACCAACATGATTATAGAATATGATTTTTAATGTATCATTAGATTCAACTTGTAAATATTGTATTGAAGATATTGAGGGTTTTATCTATGTTCACCATGGATATTGACCTATACTTTTTTATCTTTATCATGTTTGGTATCAGGATAATGACTTCATAGAATGAACTTGAAAGTGAACTTTGCCTATTTTATGAAACAGATAGAAAAGCAATGCTATTTACTCTTTAAGTCTGATACATGACTTTCCATTACTGCTTCAGTATCATTGCTGGTATATTTATATCTATTTAAATTTTGTATGTATTATTTTGTTCTTGATAAGAACATATACATTTATCCATTTATCCTAAGTTTTTTTAAACTAATTACATTCCTTCTAATAACTCTTCTTTTTCTTTTTGTAATCTTGTTGCTTTAATTTGGGTGGTTTGTTTATTTTGTTCTGAAACAGGGTCTCACTAGACATCATAAGCAGGCCATGAATTTGCAATTAATTCTCCTACCTCCTTTTCCTGAATGCTGACTGATAAAATTATAAGAGTCACCCCACAACCCACGCCTGGGTAATCTAATCTTAATTAAGGGCTCTCACTTTCTCTTGCTTGATCACTAAGCGTTCATCACTCTTATTTAACTTTTCAAAAAATAAACTCTTAGTTTCATTGATTTTTATACCAATTTTCGGTCCCTTAATTCATTAGTTTTTGCTCTAATATTTGTTGTGACTTCCTTTTGCTGTTGAGATTGTTCTTATTTTAATGTAGACACTTGTACATCTAAACGTAAAAAAAGAGAAAAGAATATAGATATGAGATAGATCACTGAATCTATTCTGAGAAAAAAGATAAAGAAAAGGATAAATGGGTAGATCACTGAATCTACACTAAAAAGAAAAAGAGAAAGATATAAAAATGACAAAAGGTAGATTACTGAATCTATTATGAAAAGAAAAAATACTTTTAAAAAGGAATTACTTGTTTTAAAAAAGGTAAGTAATGAAAATTTTTGTCTGAATTTGTCAAATGTTACTGGACTGGACATTGTTATATATTAATGGAGTTTTTTGTCTGAATCTGTCAAATGTTAATGGACTAGACATTGTTTATGTAATCTTTTTTTTTTTTAATTTGCTACGCCAATTTTTATCAGCCTAAACAAGGAACTAAAAATAGCAAGTGAAGTGAAAAGGGCAGAACAACTGACCGGTTCCACACAGGTAGACACCCCGGAGAACGTCACCTACCATCCCGCCTTTCTTCACAGCACTGCACAAGCTAACAGATTAAGTATCTGTTTTCTTACATTAACTCCCTAGGATTTGCTAAGGTTTTTGCAAGTCACTAGGTAACACATACAGTCCTAAGGAAATAATGTCACTTAAAAATCAGCACTGGACACTAATTAAAGCGAGCTTGTGTGTGTCTACTGCCTTAAACTAAAAGTGAGGCATTGCTTACAAACTGTGACGAGCCACCCTCCACCGGCCAGCTCACTACTCCTGCCCCTCAGCTGCTTTTTCAAGGAAGTATACATTAACCAGATGGCGATTGAGGTGCTTGCTGTAATCCTTTTCCTTTCTGAAAGACCGATCACAGAAAATACAAACAAACTCTCCCTCGGTTATTTTAATTGCCAACCCCCCTTCCCACTTTTTGAACTTGCTTCTTATGGCACTGGCCGAGCCCCATGCAGCCCAGAATCCTCACTTCCCTCGTACATATTATCACTCAGGTCACTTCCATCATGGCTGTGGATGCCTTCATCTTCATCAATGTCCGGTGACTCGTTTTCAGCCAAAGTGATAGGAGGCGAGGCCGTTACGGTTGGTGATGGGACAGGAGGCAATGGTGACGCCGGTTCGGGTGCTGAGGCTTTCACAGAGACACTGTCTGGGTTCTGCTTAGTGTCCACTTCCATTTCACAAAGCCCAGCTGAACCAGTCTGACACTTAGCATGTAATGTTTCGCCACCTGACCCATTTGAGTTTTGTTCTGAGGATAAGACACTGGTAGATTCCTTGGGAGCAGCAAGCATAGCTAGACTCTTGCCAGCTTCCTCTGTTCCCACTTTCTTGAGAGGGGCCATTTTATTTCCTTCCCCATCAGAGCCAATTTCTTGGTCCTTTGGTGTCTTGTCTCTTCTTGAGTTTCCCTTTGGAAGATCCTGTGCGTGCCTGCTTCCCTTCAGAAGGTGGCTATCTCTAACAGGCACTAAGCCAACTTCAATAAGGACTTGCTCCTGCCGCACCACCTCACTCCGGCATGCCCGACTTCTCCTTGGTACTCTCTTTTCGGGGAGAAGACCTTTTGGTGACTGGTTTCACTTGAAGAGGTGGCTCCATGACAGCAGGAGGCTCCTTCTGAACAGATCCCATGTGAGGAGGCCCTGTCTGAGCAACCTCCACCTGAGCATGGTCCAAAGGACAAAGCAGCTTCTTCCAACAATGTCCCCACTGAGACTCCATGGGAGGAGGTGGCTCCATCTGATCAGGCTCCATGGGAGGAGGAGGCTCCATCTGATCAGGCTCCATGGGAGGAGGCTGTTCCATCTGAGCAAGCTCCATGGGAAGAGGCTGCTCCATCTTTGGAGGCCCCGTGGGAGGAGGCAGCTCCCTCTGAGGAAGCTCCAGGGGAGAAGGCAGCTCCCTTTGAGCAGGCTCCAGGGGAGAAGGCAGCTCCCTCTGAGGAGGCTCCAGGGGAGAAGGCAGCTCCATCTGAGCAGGCCCAGTCTGAGCACTATCCATGGGAAAAGAAAGCCCGGGCTGAGTAGAGCCTGTAGGGGTGACCACCTTTAAAAAGGAATTACTTTTAAAAAGGAATTACTTGTTTTAAAAAAGGTAAGTAATGAAAATTTTTGTCTGAATTTGTCAAATGTTACTGGACTAGACATTGTTTATGTAATCTTGACTGTGTATATTGTATATACTTATTGGACATAATTTTTCTTGTATTAGTTATAAGCTTTTTTAATTTTAGACAAAAAAGGGAGAGATATGGTGGTATTGTGTTCCCCAAAATATTGTGCACCCTAATAAACTTATCTGGGGTCAGAGACAGAACAGCCACTAGATACAAAGGCTAGAAAATGGTGGCACTCACACCTTTAATCCTAGCACTCCAGAGGTAGAAATCCCTCTAGATCTCTGTGAGTTCAAGGCCACATTGGAAACAGCCAGGCATGGTGACATACGCCTTTAATCCCAGAAAGCGAGCCTTTAATCCCAGGGAGTGGTGGTAGAAAGCAGAGAGGTATATAAAGCATGAGGACCAGAAACTAGAAGCATTTGGCCTGGTTAAACATTTGGCTAGTTAAGCTTTCAGGCTTCCAGCAGCACAGTTCAGCTGAGAGCCATTCGGATATGAGGACACAGAGGCTTCCAGTCTGAGGAAACAAGACCAGCTGAGAAGTTGGCCAGGTGAGGTTAGCTGTGGCTTGTTCTGTCTCTCTGATCTTCCAGTATTCACCCCAATAACTGGCCCTGGGTTTGATTTTATTAATAAGACTCTCTAAGATTCATGCTACAACTACTATCACTCTTAGGGGATGGTCATTTTTTAGTTTCTTTTTTTCTGAGGATTTGTCTTGTGTCACTTTGCTGTATATGAAATATTATCCTTGATTAGTCTTCCTGTAGTTAGTTACTAAATTTGGGCACAGTGCATACAATGACAGCATCAGTCAGAGATATTTATAGGCCATCCAAGAGTGAGGACCCTCTATCCCTACCAGCAAGTATGCTATAGAGAGCAGTAGTAGGGGATAGTTACTATGCAGCTGCCCCTACACTCAAAGTGGTGATGGAGGTTTCCCTATGTATTGAGGATGGGAGCTCTTATACAAGAATTCACAGCATCAACAGTTTTAAGGCATCAATGAAATGAGTTAGATGCTCTCTAGGGAGAAGTAGTAGCCAGTCCTGTAGCACCACCCTTACACACAGTCCTGACAATAGTGCAGAGATAGCCAGTGACAGCAGAAAATGTAGTTCATCTGTACTAGTACTATGGTCATACCATCCCTGGAGTAAGCTCTTATTTCAAGTTGTGCAAAGCTATCTTTGTCACCAGCTATAGATATTTGGGGGTCAAGAGTCAGGCACAGGTATCTACGGTAGTAGAAACTGCATGTGTATCTGCCTTCAGTCCTGGGAGTGGTGTGAGTCTAAAAAACTGACTACATCCTTAGTCACAAAGGGAAAGTTCCCTGATTCCTTGGTTTTCAATGATGATGCCAGCCATCTCCCTCTGTGTTATATACCACCCATCCTCTACAGTGTAGGTTCCCACTGAACTTGAGTCAGAATCACTCTCCTATTCACACAGCCAGAGCAGTACAATGTCTGTGGGATCCCAGAGATGGAAATGTATAGCATTTTCTGACCCGAGGGCATACACAATTTATTCAATAGCTACATTCCTTCTTAAGACAGTTCCTGACTATAGCCCTGAATGTTTACTGGAACATAATATAAACTCTTTTTTCAAAGACTTCTATAGATTTTAGGTCAATTTACTTAAAAGTTGGTGAGGACTGTGAACCTTCCACTTACTAGAATTGCCAGTGTCTGTGCTCATATAAATTGCTTTGACTCTTCTGTACTCTTAACATGCAAGGAGATTTCCCCAAGTTGGGAGCTGCCATGGTGGACACTAGGGTATTTTTTCTCTTACTATGCTCTTGTACCAGGGTTGTAGGTCTTATCCAGATTCTGCTGTCTCTTCTGCTGATTTCCAGTGTTCTTGCTTGTTTCTTTGAATCTTCTTTATGAGTTCTGGGCATTTCTCTTCAGCCATACTGTGATCTGCCATCAGTTATTTTTCCTGATTCATGTAGGTAAGAAATGTGAGGGTCTGGAGCAAAGGAGAATTTCAATGTAAATAATTACAGTGAAGACATTTTTTGTAAGGCAATACATCATAAAAAGTTTCTGGGAACATATGTGAATTCACAAAACCTCCTAGGGGAGATGTATCATCATTAAAGAAAGCATATTCAGTTTCACTGGCTGTTTTTTGTGATTCATGAGTGATCAAAAATGACTGTAAAAATATTAATGTGACCAAATTAAAGACAATTTAAATAGAGGAAGAAGCCATGGGAACTCATCTTTTTACCTTGAAACAACACAAAATGTAGAACCTGACATTGATCTCAAAATAACATATTCCTGTTCATTGTTGTTTAAAATTACATTGTGTATACTCAGTAGAATTCTTCCTTTACAGTCTAAACTATCTAATTCTTCTTTTCTTAGAATTATACACAAAAGTTGAAAAAATCTGCAGTATGTTTTATTCTAAGACAAAAGTTCATATTCTAGCACTTACACATTTCCTAAGAGGCTATATTATAGAAAAATAAAAATGCTGAGTTTATATAATATATGAAATTAAGGGGCTTTGAAGCCTATACAAAGAGGTCAAAGCAGAATTTCATTATGTTGTAACCAAGAGTAGAAACAGGACTGTATGGTGGCATGTCCCACCATGAATGACTTCTTTAAAGACATTTTTAAATCACCGAATCTTGGCATTTAAAGAGGAACAAGGAACAAGGAAGTTTAAAAATTGAAACTAGAAAATTCAATTACTGGTAATTAGAAATTGAGTTTATAATTCTTTTTCCCTTTTCTGTTAGCTAGTAATTAATCTAACTCTTCCATCTCATGGGTGACTCACTGTATTTTTTTCTTTCAACTCATACTTTTTTAAATTTAATTGATTTATTTTACATCCCAACCACAGTTTCTTCTCCCTCTTCTTCTCCCATTCCCTTCACTCACCTCCTTTATGTGCCCCCCCCCCAGTCCACTCCTCTGTTTCTATTTAAAAGAAGGGGGGGCAAGCGTCCCATGAGTATCAACAAAGCATGACATATCAATTTGCCAAAAGACTAAGCACCTCCCTTTGCATTTAGGCTGGGCAAGACAATCCATTATGAGGACTAGGTTCCCAAGAACCCGCCAAAGCGTTAGGGACAGCCCCTGTTCCCATTGTTACAGTCCCACAAACAAACCAAGCTACACAATTGTCATATATATGTAGAGGGCTTAGGTCAGTTCAATGCAGGCTCCTTGGTTGTTGGTTCAGACTCTGTGAGTACTATGAGCCCAGGATAGTTGTTTCTGTGGGTTTTCTGATAATGTTTTTCACCCCTCTGGCTCCCACAATCCTTCCTCCCTCTCTTCAACAGGATTCTCCAACCTCAGCCTAATGTTTGGCTGGGGGTCTTTGTATATGTTTCCATCAGTTACTGGATGAAGGCTCTTTAGTGACAATTGGGGTAGTCACCAATCTGATTACAGGAGTTGGCTAGTTCAGGCTGTATATCCACTATTGCTAGGAGTCTTTGCTAGGGTCATCTTTGTAGATTTGTGGGAGTTTCCATTGCACCAGGTTTCTACTGACCCCCCAAAAGCCTTCCCTTTTCAGTCATCTCTTTCAGTGCTCTCCCCCTACACCTACCCCCAAACCTGATCCCTCAAGTTCCTATCTCAACCTGCCCCGTCTTTGGTGGACTTTTGCTTATTTTTTTATCTTCAACTCCAGAATAATACAGTTGGGAAACCCACATTATCGTATTTGAGTCATGTTAAATACTATCCTATTGATATTCACAATCAGTTATTAAGCATCTACCTTATATGGAAAACAGACCTTGGAAGCATCATTTTAAGAAAATGTATCACTTTGGTGCGTAAAATAAGTTTTTTCTCCAGATATAGCTCAGTAAATTTTACTAAATGTATTTGTGTTTTCAAACCTATCCTTGCTATCTCAATATTGGCTTCAAAGGTTGTATCACCAGTTACTAATGCAATCAATAAGCAATGGAGAAAGCACTGAGATCTGAATCTTGTCAAATCCAACAGAACTATGCAGTGAGATAAAATTCAAAACATAAAAACTCTACTTCCTTGATATAAGTAATTTGTCTAATTTTAATTATGACTCCAGCATTGAAAACTCAAAATACAGGTTCAATGGGGTGTAACGCCTGTCTTAGGGTATGTGCATATACAGTAAAAGTTCAGTACTCTGTTCAAGGGCTGGAAAAAAATGGTTCAGCATGCTCTTGCAGAGGACTAGAGGTTGGTTCCCAGCACTCATGTCAGGTAGCTCACAATTGCCTATAACCCCAGCTCTGGGAGGATCTGACATTCCTATCCTCCACAGATACCTGCAGTCACATGGATATACCCTACACACTACATGATTTAAAAAATAAATCTTAAAAAAAAAAAACAAGAATTCTGCTCATATCTCTTTGAAATTCACATTTTCTATGCTGACAATTAGTTGCAAGGATTTTTTTTCTGCTCTTGAACATTGTTGAGTCCCGCCCAACCTGTGGATCAATCTTGAATAGGGGAGTGAGGATTGAGAAAAGACAGCTAGGGAAAACAGACAGAAGATGACAGGGCTCCGAATCAACACTACAGCAGCCCTGAGTTTATTTCTTACAGCCTTTTTATGCGCAAAGCAGGGAGCAGGGGAAGACCTCCCCCTCTCAAGGACACCATTGTTCAAGGAACAAACAAGCATAAACACCTTCTTAATTCTCAAGACATCTGGTAAGCACACCTTTTGGCCAAACATCCTGTTAGCCAGCCTTAAAGGAACAAAGACAAGCTTGAACTCTCTGGCCTTGAGTCAAGAAGGAAGCAAGCCACAAGCTGGAGTCACTGTGGGCTGCCATCAGGACATATGCTTGGCTAGAGCACAAGAATGGCTAGTGTGCTTGCTACCTAGTTTTATGCCAACTTGACACAAGCTAGAGTCATTTGGGAAGAGGGAACTTGAGCTGAGAAAGTTTCCCCAACACACATCAGACTGGCCTGTGGGCAAGCCTGTGGTGCATTGCGTTTTCTTGACTCCATATTTATGGGGGGTGGCCTAAATCACTGTGTGGGGTGTACCCCTGGGCTGATGGTCCTTGGAATTACAAAGAAAGCAGGCTGAGTAAGCCATAGCAAGCAAGCAAGTAAGCAGTACAACTCTGTGGCCTTTACATCAGTTCGTGCCTTCATGTTCCTGTCTTGAGTTTCTGCTCTAGCTTCCATGGGTGATGAACTAAAAGTTGTAAGACTAAATGAACCCTTTCCTCCCAAGTTGCTTTTGGTCATGGTATTTTATCAAAGATATACAAACTCTAACTAAAACAGGAACATTAAGAAGTTAATAGTAGTCATCAGGTTAACTAATGTTGAATCAAAATTTATGCATAAATGTTCAGCTTCCCTTGCTCCTCAAGAAAGCTAATGCTATGGCACATACTATGCAGTTTACCATAAGCCTTCAAAAACATTGAACTCCATCTTTCCTCAATGGTAGCCACTTATTAGCACACTTTATATGGGATTATTTTTTGTTTCTTATTATTCAGAGTATCATCACTTCATAAATGTCTGCTAAAAACCACAACCTGAGAGTTTTAGTCCTAGGAGACTCAGTGGATAGTCTCTTGTATCAGTGGTTGTCAACCTGTGGCAAACTTCTGTCTCCAAAAATATTTACATTACAATTTATAACAGTAACAAAATTACAGTTATGAAGTAGCAATGAAAATAATTGTGTGGTTTTTTGGTCACCACAACAGCAACCGTATTAAAGTGTCACAGCATTAGGAAGGTTGAGAACCACTATTTATGTAAAGAAGCCCTCTCTGGGCAATTGTGTATAAAGAGATAGATGGTATCTCAGGGTTTTTTTTTTTCCTGGCAGTTATCGACTGTATTTGAACTGTCTTTATAGGATATATCCTCTCTCCTTCTGTCATCTGCCTTTGTCACCAATATTTTTCTATTTTCTCCTGTTCTTAAGCTCAAATTATGGGGCAACTATCTTGGGCAAGGGTAGGCAATAGATATACAACAACAAAATGTTTCTCTTTAATTTCCCATTATAAGAATCCAACTCCCTAAACTGACTCTTCTCTCAGCACCATCCATATAATACTTGCTATGTTCTATCAATAAAGCCACAAAAGTATATTTTAAGCAAGTCAGTCTTTTACTCTCACATATACAATTTGCGATTCATATGGCCTCCTCTTTCCTAGAAGACCTCATTTTTCTACTCTATTCCTTCTTTCAAATCTCTGTCTTCTTTACATCTTTCTACTTTATTCTATCATTTGTCATACCTCCAGAATATATTTGAAGGTTATAAATTGGTTCTTTAGCTTCCTGAATCACCTTTCTGCTTTGCAAAGGATCTTTCTGTGTACTTTGTTCTCTCTCTCTCTCTCTCTCTCTCTCTCTCTCTCTCTCTCTCTCTCTCTCTCTCTCTCTCTCCTGTATGTGTGTGTGTGTTGTGTATTTCCTCACCTTCAATAAAATGATTCCTCACCAGTCTAAAAAAAGACATAGAATAAAATGCCCTTCATCCTTTGGTTCCTTAATATTTGTGAAGTAACCACTTGTTCCTGACCACAGGAAATGCCACTGTCCACACTAATCACACACACTGTCATCCAGCATTACTGAGCCATTTTCAATTTCATAACACAAGGAAACATTTCAAGGGGTCTTACAAGTACTCTTGAGTCAAAAGCTTGTCCTCTTTCACCTATACCATCATTCTTGTGCACTAGTTCCGAAATGCAGCTTGAGTAAGAATGGGAAGGGGTAGGGTATTATTTCAACCCTCTTACAAAATAATTTTCCACATTTCACATGGGAATTTCTAAGTACAAACAGGAATCTGGGTGAGTAAGTAAAATAGCAACATAAATAAAATGCACACCTTTTAGGTCATATCAGGAAATTGCCTTGAGGTTTAAATAGCTGAGATCATTTCTACATTCCTCACAGATAGCCATCTATAATTAAACAGTGGCAGTAGTCGGC